CCCAATTTAAAACTTTTTGAGAGAACAAATCTTCTTACCTAATTCAATACAAGTGGCTACTGATGAAAAGTCCACAAACAAAAAAAGATAATTACACAATCCTATTTATCTTTCCTATAAATGCTCACCATTTAGCTTATTTGGGGATGTGTTGTTTCAGCATTCTTTTAAACCAACATGATTGGTCATTGCTACAGCTTGTGATCTCAAATTCCATAGTTAAATTATTGTGCATTGTATAAAGAGATGATTCTCTTTTGCCCTGATTCTTGTTAAGGAACTTGCTTTCCTTTCTAAAGCAAGTGCTCAGTCATGGCAGATATAAATGAGTAATGCTTAAAATCTCAGAAATGTGAATAAATGATAAGGAGCTAATTTTCAGCTCCCATGATTATGCTTTCTTATGACTGGCCCCACCAGTCATAAGAAAAATATAAATCAAAAGAAAAATACACAGATCATTTAAATGTATAATTTAACATTTATGAGCAGGCAACTCTTTCATTTAAAAAAAAATGGCATAATCTTGATTATGGATAATATATTCATTTTACATGTATCTTCCAGTGCTAAGAAAACATAATTAAAATATGTTTTGCTGCTTTTCTGCAGAATTTATCATCTACCAAGCCACTTCTGCACACTGTTTTTTCACTTGTTCCATCTAAACTACCATATACACAATTTCTTTGTTTGACCTTGTTCCAGATCACCCATTGCCAATATCATTATTGTATGTAATGAAATTGTGCATGTGTTTACAAAGTCTTTGCAAAATGTGTAATAAACCTGTGTGTGTACATACACACACACAGAGTAATTATTTCCCCATTGTTGCAATTTTAGTGTTTGTTTTAAAAAAAGCTCTTAAAACTTAATGCATATTTAGTATCAGTGACTGTGTTGTGCTGTACAGTCATAATGACGAATATGTTCAGATGGTAAGAGTTTAAAAAATAAAAAAGCAAACAGTTTTCATCTTGTTCAAATGTTCTTTCATTTGAAAGCCTGCCTGACCTCATCCCATAAGGTTGATGAGAAAGTAAATCTACATACAGTAGAGCTATTAAACAGTAAGCCCGAAGAAACCGCAGTGTTGGATTTCTGTTTTGTTCAATTGATTTTTGTATCTGAAACTGCTCCTATCCTTCCGTGCTGGAATGCCCATCTAAACTACCTTTTAAGGAATGGTGGTAATTAATATAATTTGGGATATAGTTTTCTGTCACCAAGAAAGTGAATATGGGCAAATTTGTACCTGTTTAGTAATAAAAGATACAGTAATCATATGGAAGCTCTCCAGATGAATCTGAATTACAACTGCTAGCATCTCTTGCCATTAGTCACGGCGAGGGCAAAAGTTCCCAATTTTTACCTTACTGTATAGCCCTAAGTACATCCAGTTAAGAGTAAAATCCAGTAAATGCAATTTTCTTTCAAGTGGAAATAAGTAGGATTATTTTGTAATAAGGCAATTATTGATCTTCATTCTGCCTTTTTTTTCTTTTTCTTTTCTTTTCCTCCTCATTCTGCACTTGCTTATGTTTTTTATTTGAGAAATTTGTTTTTGGAAGCTGTTCCATGGAGAAAATATTTTTACAACTAGAACTGCATGTGTGTATGTGTTTCCCTGCCACCCCCCACCCCCCAGGCAAAATCCCCCAAATCAGTCAAATTTAAGTTACTGTTGATCAACAGCTTTTCCTGGAAAATGAACATGTATAAATAGTTCATGCATCCATAAATTAAAAGAAAAAAACAGGTTAGCCCCAAACCTTATTTTTGTTTCACTCTGCAGTGTTTATTTTTGTGTTTGTAGGGGTGGATGGGGATTGAATCTAGAGAGATTAGAAGGTGGAATACACACATCTTTAAATAACTGTCAATAACAGCTATCAGCACATGAATTGACTCATTTGAATGTGTGAAAACAAACTGTAAGAAATGAGTCACCACCAATCTGTGCCTTTCATCCCAGCAAATATGATTCCCCTTTTTAATCCAAATGAGAGCCTTTAAAAAGAGACATTGATAACTGTGTATCTCTGAGCCCACCTTGCATTCGCTATGTAAAAATTAGTGGAAGGGGGTCATTTAACCACCCACACCATCCAATGAATCCATAGATTTCATTTTGTTATTCCTTTCAATAATCTGAAAAGCCAGCCAGGATTATTTTGTGTTTCATCCAGAAGATGAAACTCAAATGCTTTGGCCACTGGAGAAGAGCCTAATGCTGGGAAAGATTAAGGGCAACAGAAAAAGGGGACAACAAAGAATGAGGTGGCTGGATAGAGTCACTGAATCAGTTGGCGTGAGCTTAAATGGACCCCGGAGGATGGTAGAGGACAGGAAGGCCTGGAGGAATGCTGTCCCATGGGGTCACGATGGGTCGGACACATCTTCGCAACTAACAACAACAACAAAATATTGCCCCAAAGTAGCACTAGAAACCTATTAATTTGATCAAGGCCAACTCACCAGAGTCTGCCCAAACTCTAAAGGAGCAGAAAGGACAACATGAGACCTTGCACAGAAAGGAAGAAAAGCAATATCGATACAAAAATTGGTGACAGAATCAAAGCCACATGACTTCACAACTAACAACAACAAAGTTTATTGACATTATTACCACTGTATTGCCTTTCATATTTATGATAGGGCTTAAAGGCCTCAAGGTTGAGTGCCTGACACCATGACCTAATGAAATTACTTTCTGAAGCCTACTCGGTACACCTGCTGATCTATTGCTTTGGCAACCTTGGTAGCTGGCAGGCAAGAGATCAGAAACGGATTCCAAACCACATTCTCTGCACTATCGCACTGTTCTTGATATATGTGTGCCTGTCACTTGATGGATGTAACGTCATGTCTTTTGGTAATGCTAGTCACAATTGCAATTGTCTATCCCAAATACAGAGCCTTTCAATAGACCTGATGCACATATAAAGTGGAATAAAAATGAGGATTCTATGCTCATCTAAAAACATTGTTTCATCTTGGTTCTTATCTCCGTTTCAGAAGCTGCTTTTTCTGTGTTCAATGGTAATAATTAAGGGTAACCTTCCTCAAACTGTCACTTCTGGCATTTTGGGAGTTCTAATACAATCTGAACCCCACATTAAGCTACAGCTTCCATTATTCCCAGATTGCGCTACCATTATAGGATGGGGGAATATAGTTCTGCTAAGTGTCAGATTGTGAAAGGTATTCCCAATGCCTTTCTTCTTCCTTCTCTAATATCTATTTAGATATAGGTACCTTTATATGTCACCTACTCCACAGTTTCTACTTTAATTTACATTCTAAACCAGTGGTCATCAAACAGCGGGCTGCGGACCATTGGTGGTCTGCAGAAAATTTTGGTGGTCCGCAGAGAAATGTCACCCCCAAAGCACCCCGCAAAGCAATTAATCCAGGCTGCGTGGGAACACAAGGCTTGCATTGCGGACATGAGGTAGTGAGGGGAGGGGGGGAAAGAGCGGAGGGGGGAACTCACCCGATGCACCTGGCTTGGCCACTGGGCTGCTTCTTTCCACTTCTTTCTTCTTCTGCTTTTGGCTGCACTCAAGGAAAGCAGCAAAAGTCTTTCCTTCTCTCCCCCAAACTCCGCTAGAAATCAGTCTTTGGGATCCTGCAAGGCATCCTGCTCCAAGAAGCAAAGACTCATTTCTGGTGGAGTTTGGGGGAGAGAAAGAAAGACTTCTGCTGCTTCTGCTGCTTTCCTTGCATGAAGCCAAAAGTCTCTCTCTCTTTCTTCTCCCACCCCCACCCCACAGAATGGAACTGGAGACAGTATCCTGCAATCCCAAATAAAGAATGATCGATCGGTAGGGAAATGGGGTGGGGAATTTTGCTGCACTTTTGGGGGGATTTTCCCACAGTCTCTGGTCTGCTGGATTTAAAATTATGCGTTTGGTAGTCCCTGAAGTCCAAAAGGTTGGCGATCCCTGTTCTAAACCATAAAGATACAACCGTATTCAACTCATTTCCAGCCCAACCTCTTGCACCAGCAGTTGCCTCAGTTAAACAGCACTTTTGCCTGAAAATCTCACTGGAAAAGATTGTAGTTTTCGCTGCGATCCTAAACATTAGCAAGGAAAGAGGTGGGGGTATCCAGATCGTTCGGTCTGTTCTCCGCCACTATTGCCCAATTCGGAGTATCGCGGATCTAAAAACGTCTTACGTTGCCTTTTGCCAGCCTTTTCTCTGCTTCATTGAGCTAGTCACATGTGCCAACTTGCTATATTGCAAAAAAGAAGACGAAAAAAAAAAAAAAGCTACGAAGCACACCTGTCAAGTCCGTGTTTTGCTTAGTCAGGGGTGGAACAAGGGAAGGTTTGGACCGATGGCGCGGAGGAATCTCGCGTCTCCTTAGGGAGCTTGGCTCAGGGAGGAATCGGCAGAGGAAGGTTTGAGGGATTTGGTGTTATCGGGAGGCAGATCCCGCTAAGTAACTGAGATTGCGGTTTTTTTTTAAAGAACAACAACAACAAGACACATGACGGCTCAGAACGTTTCGTTTACAGCTGCAACGCCACCCGGTATGCGGCGATTTGGAGTAAGCCTCTCTGATTTTCAGTGAGGCTTACTCTTAGGTAAATATAGGTCGCAGAAGCAAAGCAGGTGTAAAGACTCCCGGAGGCCGGACGCGTCTGCGGCTTTTCTCTCAGCGCTCGTCTTTGTGAGGGCATCGCTCAGCCCCGCGCTCCACATCTCCTTCCCTCAGGGCGCCCCCCCCACCCCCAGCGCTGTGCCGTGTGTGTGTGTGTGTGTGTGTGTGTGTGTGTGTGTGTGTGTGTGTG